TCTAGCTCAGGCTGTCCTGCCTAGCTCTGCCTCGAAGCTATTGGTGTGGCTCTACCCTGAGCTGGGGCCTTCCTGCTGCAGCGCCCACCAAGGTGGTGAAGATGGTTGCCACCATAGCCAGGTAAGTACCTCTGGCGCTCCTCCCTAGCCCTGGCCTTCTTCCTCCTCCGTGTCCTTGCTCCTTCCCCAGCAGCGCTGCTGAGTGCTAGCACTGGTCCAGCCAGCGCTCCAACCAGTCTGTCGCCAAACTTGCACACCGACAATGAGAGTGGGCTCTTCGCCCGGCCTGGAGATATAGCGGCCTGCTTGCCTCTTGGGCGGTGACTTCCAGGCCGCTCGGCCTTCCAAGCAACCGGTACCTCCTCCCTTTCGGAGGGAAACATCATTGCAGACTCTGATATTGCCCGTACAGGCCCTAGACTCAGACTGGTTGGACTGGTGCCCGCCTAGACCTAGCCAACAACTACTGGGCCTCTAAAAATGCCACGTTTGTCTTCTTCTGCTCGGCCGCGAGTACCCGGCACATCTACCTCTTCAGGGTGTGGTACCGGCCTACCTGCTACTTGAGTGTTTCCCCGCTGCTTCAAGTGTTGTGGGCCTCTTCCCCCACCACTTGAGTGTTTTTCCCCCTGCAATCCTCACTGTCACGGCCACAGGTAAGTACCGGCCCTGAGGGCCCAACGAACGAACAAGTGCCCTTGCAGGTCACACACACACACTCAAGCCATCAAGCACTCAGACAGACATGCAGACCAGCAAGCGTGCACAAACACAGACTTAGAGAACTTAGTAGCAAGCGGGAAACTCAGCAAGGCATTCAGTCCATGAGCAAAACTCAGAAATCAGCTGTGTGTCTCAGTCCGTGTTTTGTGAGGTCATCACACTTTTCTTTTTTTCACTTTCTTTTGGCTATATGGAGCCGCTTTCTCCCGAGTACAGCAATTATGGCAACATTCTGCTGATACTGCAGGGCTGGCGTGGCTGTGTTGCTGACGCGCCGCTCGTAACCCCTGGTTTGCCCCTGCTGTCCACATAGTCATCATTATGTGCAGTATTGCGTACTAACTTGTTCAATTGGCGTTGTCTTTCTCTTTTTCTTTTTCTTTCTTTTTTTCGTATTCAATCGTCTCTCTGATGTTGGCCTGCTCCTTTTTAAGACTTAGTTGACATAGGGTTTGCCCTACCCCTACTCGTGCTACACTATAGTCGTTGAGTTGGTGTTCTCCGCGGGTCATTTTAGAGATTTGTCTTGGAGTCTGCGTCGTCGTCCTGCTTCAAGTGGTGCGGGGTTCGTCCTACTTGAAGCCCTGGCGAGGTTTGCCAGGACCGCCATAGCCGGCCGGCTGCGGAATTGTCGCATAGACAGCCGTGCAGGCTTCTATGGACAGGCGGCGAAGGAGAGAGTGAGATTAGTGTTACCCTTGTACTGCAGATTTCATTTATTGGTGATGTTACATGTATTCCATACAGTACGTGGTATTTCTGTCTAGTTTGTGCTAATAATGCAGTTTAGTTGTATATTTGTCTAGTTTTTGCTAATCGTCCAGTTTTGCTGTAGTCGAAATACCGCACGCACTTGTGCCCCATATACCTTGCCATTGACTACCTTCTTCCCCCCTGAACATAACAGCCCCCAGCTTCACTGTACCGGACAGAAAAGCTAGTTGTATCCATAATTGTTAATGATGCCGCTCGGGGGAGGACGGTAGTCGAAGTGATGGTCTCTGGACAGGCAGTTTCTTTTTCTTTTTTTTTTGGATAGGCAGTTTTATGCTTCCCAGGTTTTGGTCAGTGAATCAGTAGTAAGTTTTAGTTAGTTAGTTTTTTTTTTTTTTTTTTTTTTTTTTTTTTTTTTTTTTTGGAAAGGGCCCAGTGCCCAAGGCTGATATTACAAATGAGAATATTGAGGCCGGGGTCCTCACAGTCTACCTGGAGTAACCAGAAAAACAGCTGCTGAGAACTGCTGAGAACCGGGCTCACTGGCTCAGCATCCCACATATGATGATGAAAACAATCATGACGATAGTGCTAATGGTGTTCATGCTGATGTAGTAAACTATGCTAGTAACTGTTTTCAATTTTGAATTTTTGGGCTTGATTCTGCCGACAGGTGCTTAGCTGTACCATAGCTCAGTAGATACAGGTGCTTAGCTGTACCATAGCTCAGTAGGGAAGTGGGCAGTGCCGAGGTAGTCAGGCTCGGCCAGGCTGCCTGTAAGCCGTCACGTGGAGGGGGGAAATAACCTCTCGGTTGAAACCGGAGTTAGGAAAAGTGGGGCAGATGGACACGTAAAAGGGGAGTAACCCCTTCTACGGAGCTGGGCAGCAAGTAAAGTGGGAGATTGGGCCTCACTAGTGTACTACGTGTCCCAACGTACGCGTGGTATGCGGATCATATTACGCATGATTTCTGATGATACCTTTTTTGTACGCGTTTGCACTGCCTACAAAAATGTTTTTTTGTTTTTTTTTTCCGTTTTTTTTTGTTTTTTAAATCTAAAAAACTGTTGCGAATTTCACTTTCTGCCTGAGGCTTTGCTTGTCCGGAGAGCCTTGGCCACACAGGCCGTCGAAATTGGAGACGGGAAGAAAATTTGCAAGTTGTCAGAGAATGCTTCTCGACACCTCCTCCTCTCGAAAGTAGTTGAATCCCCAACCTGCTACTCCGATGCTTTCGACAGTCCTCAGCTGCGCCATCGACTTCTCTTCCAAATTTGGTGAGTGGGCGTGAGGTCGGGATGGACGACTAATGTTTGCCGTACCCTCAGGCGCGTTAGTCTTGTTCCATCTTGGATTCACAAGTGCGTCCACTCTGCAGTGCTGTGTGGGTGAAGGGGGGGGAACCGTAGAATGGACGCTGTCAAATATATTCTGATATATTCTGACAGCCGTCGATTTTTTTTGCCTTCCGACAGTCACTGTGGTGTAACGAGGCCCTCAGAGCTGCGGAGAAGTCTCTGAGGGACGCCCGGCCCGGTCCCCGGCACAGTGTTATAAGGGTTGCTCCCTTTCCCCCCCAAAAAATACAAAAAAAAAAAAGGACAGAAAAAAAAAGATGTTCAGAATAATGTTAAATGTTGTCTATCATGTAATATGTTTTTCAGAATTTTTTTCTCAACTCTTTTTTTTTCACAGAAGTGATCCTGTGGGTTGAGTACAACTGTACTACAACACGGATACAAAAATTTCGTTTTTCTTCTACTCGAGAAATAGGGCCTCGCAGCACCACTGTCGAAAATGCAATTTTCGACAGTTTCTCTTCGCCACACGGGCTGTCGAAGTCGGAGACGGGAAAAAAATTTTCCAGTTGTCAGAGCATGCTTCTCGACAGCTCCTGTCAAAATTTGTTGAATCCTCAGCCTGCTACTCCCTTGCTTTCGACACTCCTCGGCTGCGCCGTCGACTTCTCTTCGAAAAATTCAGTGAGGGGGGATAAGGTCGGGATGGACTAATGCTTGTCGTACCCTCTGGCCCCTTCGTCTTTTTCCATTGTGCATTCACAAGTGCGTGCACTCTACAGTGCTGTGTCGCTAAAGGGGGGCAAACTGTCGAATGGAGGCTGTCGAATTTGTTCTGAGAGCCGGCAAATTTTTTCCCCTTTCGACTGTGGTGCGGCAAGGCCCATACACTCTACAATTTGTAGAGTTGTGTCATGGATCCACAAACAGAGCTGCCAGATTTGGAGATGTCAGAGAATACTTTGCATAGCTTTCAGAATTTAAGCAGTAACAAGGAGAACTCGACTGTAACACGGTTGTGTGTGGAGTCCCCAGCCTGCAACCAGTGTTCCTTGTGGAGTCCTCATCGGAATTCTATGCCGAGCGTGCAAATTTGGAGGGTGTACCTCGAGTCCCGGCGGACAAACGGGACTTTCAGCTGTGACAGTCTTTTTGGGCTCTGGAGAGTTGGTGGCTGTAGCTCGGATTTCTAACTTTCCAATTGTCTGACAGCTATACAAGCACTCCACAAAATTTTGTACACTTTACAGTAGTGTAGGTCGTAGTGACTCAGGAGCAGTTTTCCCTTTACGGGCATCGCCACACCACTCTCGAAATGTGAAAAAGACAAACATGTGGCGGATGCATCTGGCCATGTTCTAGGGGAAGTTCATTCTCATGTTGCTCATTTCAAGAGTGGTGTGACGATGCCCTATATAGATTTGCATTTTGCCACGGGCTCTAGAATCCATCCTTGAAATCATGAAAAAGTGAAAAGCTGCAAACTATTTGAAAAGTGTGTGCATGACAATTAATGACCGTTAATCCTCTCGATATTGAAAGAGACCATTGGCAAGGAGGAGGATGCTTATGTCGTGTTAGGCTCCATAAATATCTGTGTAATGAGGAAACCAAACCAAAACGAATACCAAGTGTGAGCAGCTCAATTTCACTACCAGGGGTTGAAGTTGAGCTGATCACACTTTGAAACCAAAACAATAGGCTAAGCAAGAGTTACTACTTAGTCTGAACAGCTCAACTTCACTCCGTGCTATTCTCGTTGTCATGCAAAGCCAAGACAATAGCACGTCCGAACAGCTCAACTTCAGTCCATGCTGTTCTGGTAAACTTTAAGGTGGTTGTTATGGAAAGCTAGAACAATGGCAAGTCTGAACAGCTCAACTTGAAGTTCGCGCCTTGCTATTCTCGTAAATGTCATTCAATTTGTTACAAAAGTTTTAAGCCATAACAATAGCAACTTAGTAAGAACAGCTTAACTTCAATCCACTTCAGAGGATCAGGAAATCGCAAAGAATTTGTAAAGGCTGATGATGTACATACAATTATAATAAGTCTTAGAACAGACATGTCAAATGGACGGGAGCGGAATGTTGTACCAGGATCTCTCAGGAGATCGCAGCCGACCTTCTTTGTGTCCCCCTTAATCATCATCTCCCCGCCGGTCTCTTTGGTGTCACTTGACTGCAGCGGGCGTTCCGACGAAGAATCCATCTGCTTTGTTCTCTGCGTCCCGGGATCAGTTGTCTCAACCTGCTGGTAGCTGTTGATTTGACCTGTGGACTGGTCCACCAATTCCCACGCCAGCTGGTCTGTGTCGGTTTTGGCATCGAAACCACAGTCCCTGCCTGCCACCACCTGCCTGTGGAGGAGAGACTGTAGAGATGGAGGCCAAAGGTGAAATCAATCTTGTAAATGGGCAAACAACCTTTATGTTGTACCGTGCTGTGTTGTCCGAGGACAGTGAAGGCAGTATGAGCAATGAGAGCAAGAAGCTACTGAACGTAGCGCTCTCGCCCATGAGCATTGCTCTCGCACTGGCGGTTGTCTCTGGCGGGTCAGCCGGAAACACGTTGACGGAAATACTCAATGTTCTCCGGCTTCCCACAAATCTGGCTGCTGCTCATTCCTCCTTGGCATTTCTGCGCAGGAATCTGCTTGGAGGGCCCACCTCTGCCTCCACTTCAGATTCAGCTGCCGTGAAAGTTCAGATTGCGACTGGACTTTGGGTGACTGATCAGCTGCCGTTGAAAAAGGAGTATGAGGATCACGTTGCCATGTACGAGGGTCGTGTGGTCCCTGCAGATTTTGTCAGGGCAGCATCACAAGTGCGTGAAGAAATCAACCAGTGGGTGAGCAATCAGACATCAGGAAAGATACAGGAGGCCGTCCCTGAAGGCCTGCTTTGCAAAACCTCTGTCTTTTTGCTTGTTAACGCGCTCTACTTCAAGGGATCGTGGCAGGAAGTCTTCCCTAAACAGTATACTGCCCCTGGGAACTTCATGATACCGGCCAAAGGTGGTGGCTTGGAGACTGTGTCAGTTCCGATGATGTGGAATGAAGGAATGTACAGAATAGGAAAGCAGAACGGTTTTCGGATTCTGCGATTGCCCTATCAGGTGGGGGGAGCGGAGGACCGGCGTCAACTGGCTATGTATATTTTCCTCCCGGATGAGGTGGATGGGCTTGCGAAGATGGAGGGATCGTTGACTGCCGAATTGCTTGAGGAGTCGTTCGAAAACATGTCTGACAGCTACCTTGACAAACTTTTGCTCCCAAAATTCAAAGTCGCATCAGGCCTGAATCTCAACCAGCCGCTCAAGGACATTGGCATGAAGAGCACATTTGATTCCCAAGTTTCCGATTTCATAAAGCTATTTGATTGTCAATGTGGCGGAATTTGCATCTCTAATGTCCTGCACAATGCACGCGTTGAGGTAGATGAGGAGGGCACAGTTGCTGCAGCGGCAACCGTTGTGGAGGCCCAAATGGGCTGTTCGATGTTTCGCCCCCCGCCCAAAGAGTTCATTGTGGACCATCCTTTCCTTTTCATGATACGAGAGGACACATCCGGTATGACTCTATTTCTTGGTCGCGTTGTCGATCCTAAGGCTTCTGATTAGTTGTGAATGTCGGAGTGTTTTTGCGGTCATCAATGGGATGTCTAATGGGTGGGTACAATACCACAGGGTTCGTGCCCTGTGGCTGAATGGTAGTAACACACATGTTACTGCGGCTTAATGGTTCTCAAATGTGTTTGTTGTTCATAAGCAGATCAGGAGGTCGAGTGCTGATGGCTGCGTCAATTATCGGTCTGTTCGTGGGCCATGTTGTCGTCCAACATGTCGTGAACATTACAGTGTTTCTTGCAGCTCTCTTGTCATTACGACTTTTATAATGGATGGGTGCAAGTCCAGTATGGGTCTATTTGTTGTTCATGTTGTGGATCCTCCAGCAATGTGTTGGGAATATTTCATTATCCCTATGAGTCTGCAACAGTTACTGCGCCTTTCCAAAGTGAGCTGCCGCTTTCACTATCGGCGCAGGCACAAATTGAAATGTTCTTACTGCATATGCTCCTAGTACCACGTATACCGGTAAGAGCCCTACTTAGGGTTGTGCTCCACTGAACTAACTGTAAAAAAATTCTCCTAAGTCAGTGAAGTATGGTGGGCGGGGCCGTTGTGTGTGAGCACGAATGTCTGAGGCGTGGTGGGCCGTTCGACCAGGGCACAATGTGGAAGTATAGGGAAAAGCGGCGCGATGACGAGTAACTGAGCGTGACGTCGCTGGCTGTAGGGAGGCACATGGAAGTGGTGTAGTTATGGAGATGGAGGTAGTGTGCAAGCGGAGCTGGCAATAGGGACGGAGGCAGCGTGGGTGTGGAGGGACTTTTGCCACGTTTTGGAGAAGGATTGAAGTTGGAGAGAGGTAGGTCGAGGGCTACAGTGGGAGAGGGTAAGGAACTATTGAACTGCGATTTCGTCAAAACGTTCATTTTATTTTTTTTGCGCGAAATTGAAAGTCCATTTTTGAAGCGATTTATCGTGTTTTTCATATTTAAAAACATTCAAATTCAGGGGATACCATGAAATTTTCCGGTCAATAAGCCACTAGTTTTCGTTCAATTATTCGAAGGAACCGCCTGTTATCGGCGACTATTGTTATATTTCATTACAAACTTTGTAATTTTTGAACAATTTTTTATAGTATATGCAGGATTTGTCAAAATTTCACTCAAATTTCTTCCTGATTTCAGTATATTTCATGTGTTTTTTCATTTCAATATATATAAAGCCTATTTTCAAGTGCACGTAGTTAAAAATTACATTATAAGATCCAACGCATTATAAGATCCAACGCACGTTGCAAATGGAACAACTAACTTAAAAATTGATACATAGATGTGATCCGCAAGGCAATTTTTAGCTTGAAAATTGTTAATCATATCATATTTTTACGAGTTCGTCACAATGTTTACATTGCAATAGCAACAACCAACTCAAAATTTGTCCACATCTGAATGACGTCTGTCGCTGTCGCTCCATGTCTATTACTTAGCCACTTATCATCTTTTAATAATTATCATCGTTCATACTCTTACGTTTTCCTATTATCATATTACTGACGGCTCCTATTTGTTGCATTCATTATGGGAATCCACATCGTTGCATCGTTCGACCCGTCGAGCATGCACGCCGGGATAGGTGGAATAGGCATGCTTTCAAAGTTGGTTACGAAAGCAGACCAGCCTTCAAGTCTTCGACCCTCACGCATGAATGTAATTTTTTTACCTCGTGGACTTGCAAAGCTGCTTCGTGACATTCCACATACTCTTCCACTGTCCCTGCTTGTCCTTGTCTTCCGTAAATTCGTACGTCATACACGTCGATTTTCCGTGAACCTCACGGCAACTACAAATAATTTACATTCACCAACTTCGCATCTTACTATTTACTCATATTCGTATGGAAATGGACCGTTTCTTGTTGTGAGAGATGCCCCTGCAGGCACTGTGATTGGAGTGATGCGCGTCATTGTTGTATAAGGTTTGCGTATTATTATCTCCTGTTGTAATGTCGAGCACTAAAACCCTGCAAGATAGATTAGATAATATTGTTCAAAATTAGTTATCCGACAAATATCGGCATTATTCGAACGAAGAAATTGTACTTTATGATAAAACGAAGACTGTCAAAAAATATATATATATATATAAAATAAAATAAAAAAAAAATTCAAACACGTTTGTTTATGCTAACTTTGAGCTTGTAAATTGCAAATGTTTGCGATTTTCAAAAATTTGTCCACATCATCGCAACCCGAAAACGAAATAACAGGTGAAAAAAAACATACGATTAAACATAACTAAACAAACAATTTTGCGTTTTCCACACAAAGTGAAAATAACGACTGTTGCAGTGCGCTAACAATTCCTATCTCCATAGTGTTCAAAGTCGTACACATATCTGACCATTGTAGTGCGGAACGCGTGTCAGCGATGAAGCGCATCGATTGTTGAACATGTCTCGACCTGGACAAATGTGCTATGCTACTGGCTACTATCCTGGGTCCCGTGAAGAATAAGAGGTAGAAAATTTGTTGCGTGCTTAATGTCTTCACAATACAGACAATTTATCACTATCTTCTGTCTGCCACCCACTAACGGTACTTCTTCCTGTCCCGATCGATGATACTGCTTCGTACGCGTCACTTCATCCGTGTCGCATTTTCTATGCTCCATTGTGAACACTATCTCCTCACATTTGTCAAAAAGGTAGTGAAGTTGCACATGCACCAAACTGTCAACCCTGTACACTAACTCTTTCCTAAGTGTCGCGGCAATTTCTAACTGATTCCGAAACTGTTCGAGTTTGCTTGAACCCGCGGGGTCCGAAAATTCTTCCCGGGCAGTGAACAACACATTCATTGTCGTGTCGGTGATCTTCGCTGCTGTAAAAAGTGTCACTATGACCATGCCTCTATTGCATAATCGGATTCGACCATAGAAGTCCACCACCACCGGTGCAAGCAATTCTTTTCTGCCAATGGAATACCACGCGCACACTTTTTGTTCCAATTTGTCTTCCTCGTCTTAATCCTGTTTCCTGCATACCTCCCTCCAGTTGGCTAGCATCTCCAAAGGATCCACAATGTCTTTCCTCGATACAATGACGTATGCGCCATCCTCCTTTGTGTACAGGTACCACATATTTGATGCATTGTCCGACACAATCGTCTCTTGTCCGTTGACAAACCCCATGATCGGTAGAATTTCACCATCCAGTCCAACTTTGTTTCCGATATGTATATACTCATAATTCGCAAATTCATCGACGATATCAACCGACCAAATGTTAGTGTCTAAGATAATGAGATCCTCAATGGTTGATGAAACTTGATGAGATGATCCGCTTCCATGCGAGCTTGTTTGACCGAAGTCCATCCTGCAAGTTGAGCGTGTAGATAAACAAAATCTGCGAGTTTCGTCATATTAGATTTTGAATATTGTACACAGACACGTCTATTATACAATTACAAAATTGTTTAAGTACGAAGATGCTCCATATAACGGATAAAAACATAAAAAACAGTATATCCGCTATGATTACATTGTCACTTACTACATCTCTTTAGTAGGAGGTCTGATAACCCGTCCGAATCTTGTGACGTACGGGATTTGCCGCAGACGAGGTCGTGGACTGAAACCATACATAGCATTCATGGACGATCCATATACGTGGATCTGCGGCTCCTTGATTGTTGCATTCTCCGAAAATACCGACATGTATTTCAACCTAACAAACCCTCCCGGACGTGCTAAGGAATTTCCAATGGCGTCTCGTATGGCCATCGCTTTCTCTTCCAGGTGTTGCCACAATGCCGGATTTGGCATCTTGCCTGCTATCACTACATCTGACCGTCCATCTGGATCCCAGCAAACAGGAAACCACCAACCCTGTGGGGGCTGAAGAAACAGCTGGTTCCGTGAAACACGCACAACTGCATCTACAAGTTTCCTAGATTTGTTTGAAGAAGCCACACATAACACTCTTGCGAATTCATATGCGGTAATACTCTACCGCACGCAACAGTATGACACAGCTCGTGGATAAATCCCTGGACAACGGAGTGGGTATTGCTCCAGGAATGAACAATGACGAGTTGTGTCTATGAACTCTTGTTTCAACAATCACGTCCAAGTTCGAGGTGAACTCGTGATGTACACGAAGTCGATGCGACTGTTGTAGCGGTCAATGTTGCGGTATGCTTTGCGCAGACGGGTTAGAAAAACAGGCTTGAGAAGACCATCAGGCACTGGAATGAGGCTCTTAAACTCCAGCATGTTGGCGAACTTGTAATGGTTTGGCCAAGGGCAGCCACCCACAGTCTCCATCGCATTCCAATTACTATCGGTCCATTGGTCAAGATGTCGATTCATATATGGGACGACGGTCATTCATGGGTCATCTTCGAATTCCTCTCTTGGGTCATACTTGAACCAAGTATGACCGTTATAATGCCGCACCGATTTCGCACGAGGAAATGGTTTTGCTGAGCGCTTGTGTCTCTCGGGACTTCTACCGATGCTTGTCGATATTGTCGATGACATTATGCACCCTATACACCACACACACATGAGCGACAAAATTGAATGTGTAGACGTTCGTAAACAAAGTCGAGAAATGATAACTCTCCTATTAGGCTAACACTCAGTGTTGGTGCATGCCTGTCTGTGGTAAACTATCTATAATATGAGAACTTGCTATTCCGAACCATTGCGCTTAACACGTTTGCTTTCGTAACTATACAAACTGTGCAGAGGTGAGCCGAATGTTAGCGTTTTCAAACCCTCGGGCTTGTCATCGTCGTCCCTATCGAATGACGATATATATGACATATTCACGAAATTGTGCGTGCCAGCGAGAGCGATGCCGATAGCATCTCTTAGGGTGCATATTTTATCCTCTACTTCTTCCCGACTCTTTCACATTAAACGCTGAATTGTCGCATTCCTCCTCACACCACATTGCTTCGCATCTTGCCTCTATTAATCTCCCTCCCTTGCTAGTGCATGCTACACAATTTACTCTACATAAATCGGCATCGTTTAAGAAAATCCTCACTGAGCAATAAGATATGCGCTGAGCGGTTGTCCCCGCTTCATTATGCACGGGATAAGTTATGATTCTG